AAATTCAAAACAAACAAAGTAAAAGCAAAATATGCCTTATTTGTTTGTTTGTTGTTAAGCGCAAAACTTTGCGAAGGGCTGTCAATGCTTTGCCCACCGCATCATAAACCAATTTCTGGCCTTCTGACTTACCGCTGATTGACCTATAAGAAAAATACACCTGAAAAACGTAGTGTATATATTTAAAGTATCTTCCATCTCTGAGTAAGTTTTAAAAAACAGTTAATTATATTTGTTATAAGACATTATGTTATTTCTATTGTATTTTAACACCACATTCTTAATCTGGTCCTTTACGAATTTTCAAGACTTAGAATAGTGTATAATGATAGTATCTCAACCACACTATATACATTGCCTACGACTCGATTCTCTCAGTCCAGAGCTCTTCAGGACGTCTGGGATACAACGAACACAGTATTGGTTGGAATACTATTTATATAAGCCATTTGTTACAACAACAGTTGTTGTGGTGTGAACGCCTTTTAAAAGCTGGCGAAACATGATTATAATTAATTATATTCGTCATAATACTTTATGTTAGGCCTATTAATTATATCACGCTTCACACACAATAACAGCTGTTATTTGAAAAACATACTGATTGCATCAGTTTATCATCCAAACCTCCATACTGACTGTATCTTGTCTCTGTCAAGGTGCACGCCAAGCATGAAGAGAAGTCGGATTCCAAGCAAGTTTACCGTGAATATAACAGAGAATTTTTGCTGCCTAAAGGATCCAATCCCGAAATGATCAAATCCTCTTTGTCGAAAGATGGCGTTCTGACGATCGAAGCACCACTACCGGCCTTGGAAGGAAAGAAGGAACGAATGGTTCCTATTGACAGTGCTTAAAACGCAAATCAAAACAAAAATAAATATATGTAGACCTATAATAGTATCTTTCTTATTCAAATAATTCTTTGCAATTCTCAAGACAGATACCTGATTAATTTTTTCTTAGTTTACACAATAACATTCCCGTTGTTTTAATGGTTACTTTTTATTTTAATAACAATAAATGCTTAAAACGTAAATCGATAAAAAATAAATTGAATTAAACATACGAAGGTTTCTAATGAAAGCCAAAAAAAGATAGATTTTCGTTTCAAAGTTTATCTTGTTCTTAAATCATCATATATTCCAAATTTTAAAACAAAATGCGTTTTTACTATAAACACCAATCACGACCCTTCGTGTCATTGACTTATAATTTGTCCTAATTTGTACAGGTCTTCGTACTTCTCAAGGATGGTACTTCGTTTCTTAGTTTACATTATATAATTCTTACTTTTTTTCAAAGATTACTATAATTCTAATAATAAATACTTTAAAACATAAATCGAGAAAAAATGGTTAAATATACGCAGGCCTATAATAATAAAAGCAAAAGATAGCTTCTCCTTTCAAAATTATCATATATTTATATTTCAAAATTTAAATTTAAAAAAAAATCGAATTTTTACAATAAACGCTCGTAAAGTAACATTATGTTATTGAAGTATTTTTTCTTACTTCATGCATTTATATTTGAATTCCAATTCTTTCGTAATGGTTATCTTTAATTTGGTGATAAATACAATGATGAAAAATTAATTGGATTAAGCCTATGTATTGCGAGTAGACCAGATGTACTTCCCTTATATTTGTCTTTCTTCACACTGAATTATTGAAAGTAGTAAATAGGAAATTATTTGTACTTCCCCAGGATCTTATTCTCATTAGCTTTGTCGGCGTTTGCTTCCCTTCTTTTGGCATGAGATTTGTCGACTATTTATTTTGTAATTGATGTGCTATTGAAATAAAACAACCCTTTTCTTCCTCTTAACCATCTTGAGTTTATTTATTTAAATACATTGTTAATTGTTATTTAATATTTCAAACAAACTGCTTCATTTGACACCTTACCCCGTAAAAATAAACAAGTTTATATAAAGTACCCCTATCCTTGAAAATAAGTATTTGTATTATAAGAATTTTAACCCTGTTAATTATATATATGTATGTGGTGGTTAGGACATAAATTATAATTGTTTTATGCGTCCAAATAATGCTAAAGTCTCGAATTATAAAAGGAACAGATGAGGAGACTACGGGGGCAGACAGAAATGGTCATTTTTGGACTTATATACGTTCATGTTGTTTCAATATTTGCAGACGACGGATACATACACTTTCACT